CAGCCCTATTATTTACCTTTTTTTTTTTTATTAACCAGTATCTACTGGATGTTTCATTGGCTGTATAAGAAGCCATTCTGAAATTTGGTGGCTTAAAACAACAAACCAATTTATCTTGCTTCTGTAGGGGAACAATCTAGGCTGGGTTTAGTTGATTAGTTCTGCTGGATTCTCCTGCGATCACTATGTTGCTGAGGATCTCTGGCAGATAAGTCTGGGGTTGGGTAGTCCACGATGCCCTCACATGTCTGGCGGCTGGGGCTGGCTATCAGTGATAGCAATGTATCTCCACTGATTTCCTGTTACGGTCCAGAGTTCCAACTGTAGCCCAAAAAGGTCAAGCCCTAGTGAACAAATGCCTTTGGCCTCTACTTGAATGGAATTTGCTGATGTTCCATTGGTCAAGACAAGTCCAGATTCAAAGGATAGACATAAACTTCACATCTTGATGGGAAGAGAGGCAAAATCACAATGCAAAAGGACATGTGTCAGGGATAGTAATACTTTTCCGGCCATCTAATTTACACCCACCACACTGATTTGTAAACAGAGCTCTGTTTTAGAGCTGGAAGGGATGAGTTCAGGATAGAAGGAAAAATAATTAAAACATAAGAAAAAACAACTATGATGCAGATTTTGAATATGATAAGTAAGTGCCTTACAATAGGATCAGCTAAGTGTGAGGGGAGTTCAGATCAGAGAGATCCTTATCCATTTTTTTGGCGGGGGGCTGGGGAGAGTGCCAAGGATTGAACTTAGGGGCACTCAACCACTAAGCCACACCCCCAGCCCTATTTTTTTGTTTTATTTAGAGACAGGGTCTCACTGAGTAGCTTAGTGCCTCGCTTTTGCTGAGGATGGCTCTGAACTCAGGATCCTCCTGCCTCAGCATCCCGAGCCGCTGGGATTACAGGCATACACCACTGTACCCGGCCAGAGAGATCCTTTATTGCCAATGAGGGGTGAGTCAGTGAGTTGGGAAGGCTTCATTAGCTTGACCCTGAAATATGGTTAGTATCTGGATCTGTGGAGATGGAGAAAATTCTATTCCAGGTAAAGAGAAGAGTAATGTTAGGACAACCAAGACATGTTTAGGAAATCCAAATACATCTAGCCTATCTGGGGTGTGAGGGTCAAGAAGGGGGGTTGTGAGGCCCAAGACTAGAAAGATAAGGGTGGTCCAGCTGTGGATGAATTTGAGATTGAACTTCACTCTGTAGGCAATGGGAAGCCATTGAATACTTTTCAGAAGACAAGTGAAAAGAACTGTATTATGAGAAGACTCTTGCCCATGGTCATTAGGATGGCTTGGAGTGGGAAGTGAAAAGGGAATTAGGCGCTCATTAGATAACGAAGGAGCTAGGGGTCTAGACAGAGGGATTGGCCAGGAGCATCAGGAGTAGGAAAAACATGGATAGTTCCTGATGTGTGGCTGCAGTGGGGAATGAAGAGGTGTCAAGGATGATTCTGCTGCCTATAGGATGGCAGAGGGGTAGAAGATTCACTTACAAAGCAAGAAAGTCTGGGGGAAGACCAGGTCTGGAAGGAACTCATGGATGTGGGGAATCTATGGGACCTCCAGGCAGTGCCCGATTGGAGTCTGACATCGCATGACTTTGGAAGGAGAGAGAAAGGCAGGGAGAGCAGAAGAAGTTGCTGGAGCAACCCTGCACAGAGTGTTTTAAGGTGCTTAACTACCAAAAACATCAGACGTGGTCAGATGCTTGAGGAGGAAGGATGAGGAAAGACCACTCAGCAGATTTGGCCATGAGATCAGGGCAACCTCCCAGTAGATCAGAGGAGACTGAAATTCCATGGCGTTTGATGAAGAAGAGACAGGCATCCTGCTCTCGGAATTCATGTTGGAGAGAGTCTCTGTTCTCACATAACCCCAGAACCACCCTCTCTTTCCACTTCAAACCTACTAAAGTGAAAATCTTTAAAATCTTGAAAATAAAACAAACATGGCTGTTCCTTTCCACCCTTGAGGAGGGAGGCAGCTGGTCTGTCCCTGATCTGTCTCCCTTTCTCCAGCCAGAGATCAGGCACTGGCGGGCTGTTTACTTCCCAGTGGAGCCCTGCTGTGTTTTCACATCTAAAAATAGTCATACACACACACACACACACACACGCAGGCGTGGCGGGAGAGGAACCTCACTAACCTCACTGTTTGTTTTCATGAGGATTCTGGGCTTCATCTCTTCCTTCCCCTGCATCAGGGCCTTTATTTTAGAACTCTCAGAGGGGGTAATGTGTGGGTCGAAAGGGTCCAAAACTACTAATTTTCTAATTATCACACCCAGTTGGGATCCTGGAAAAGGAAAGCAATAATAACCTTCTGTACAGCATTGGTGTTTGGGTTGGGATGAAATTGTCCCAGCTATTAAAGAAACAGTTAATGAAAGGATTACAAGGACAGAGCTGGAGGGTGAAGGGGGTGAGTCCCATCTGAATGGCAGCCAGGTGCACTGTGAGGAGCTGACTTTGCTACAGAATTGTGGGGTCCTCTCTGACTCGTGGCACCTGTGTTAGCCAGCTTTTCATGGCTGTTTCCAACATATCTGAAAAGAACAATTTAAAGGAGGAAAAGTGGTTTTTTGTTTGTTTTGTTTTTATTTTCTTGAAGTACCAGAGATTAAACCCAGGACCCTGCACAAGTTATGCAAGTACTCTACTAATGAGCTAAATAGCCGGCCCTTTTTTATTTTGAAATAAGGTCTCACTAAGTTGCCCAGGCTGGCCTTGAACTTGTAATCCTTGTGTCTCAGCTTCCTGAGTAGCTGGGATTACAAGCATGTGCCTCCGTAACCAGCAGAAAAGTTTATTTTGGTTCATGATTTCAGAGTTGTCCAATTCACGGAGGGCTAACTCCATTACTGTGGGCCAGAGTTGAGGCAGGACATCATGGCAGAGGGTAGTGGCACCAGCTAGTGGCACCCAGAAAACAGAGAAAGAGTGAGAGGAGAAGGGAAGGGAGGGAGGGAGGAAAGGAGGTGAGGCTAGGGAGAAGATAAGCCATTCCAAGGTATGTCCCTAGTTCCCCAACTAGGACCTACCTCCCAGTAGTCCATTCAACTATCCATGAACTAATCTATCAAATGGACCACTGATGAGGTCAGAGCCCTCGGGATCCAATCATTGCTTAAAAGCCATACCTCTGAACCTTGCTGCAATTGGGGACCATGCTTTTAACAAACAAGACTTTGTGAGGACATTCCAAAAACAAATATTAATAGCAACCCTTGGGTCTGTGTTCTGACAGCCTTGGTATTTAGATGTCCCAGGGTAGAAAGAAGACTAACTTCACTGGGTATTCTTTAAAATTATTTGCATTTTAAAAAATCAGTGAATGTATTACTTTTGAAAAAAAAATTTCTTGAGAAACGGTGTCTCACTATGAACCCCAAACTGACCCCAAACTTGTGGGTTCAAGTGATCCTCCTATTTCAGCCTCCCAAGCAGCTGGGGCTATAGGCAAATACTATTGCACCCAGATGACAATATTTTAATTTAAAAAACAGTGCTTTCTAGCCATGTGCTGTAGCGCATCCATGTAATCCCAGTGAACAGAGAGGTTGAAGTGAAAGGATCTCAAGTTCAGGTCAGCCGGGGTAACTTAGGTAGGCCCTATCTCAAAATAAAAAAAATAAAAAAGGCTCTGAAAGAAATTATGAAAGCAATTCCAACCACATTTTGAAAGCTTCCTTCCCTTGCCTCTGCCTCCCCCCATCAACCAAGATTAACTCCTAACAGGAAGGAGCTACATTTGACAGAAAGAACACTTCCTAACTGCAAGAATGGTTTTGGCACTGTCAAAGGATAGATTGATAATGGTAAAAGAGTCTACCATCTGTTCATGTGAGAACTGGTTGACCCTGTGTGGAAACAAGATACTTCCTGGTGGGAACAACAGCTTCTTTGGGTGTGGGGGCTTGAGGAAAAGGAAGGAGAGGAAGAGGAAGGTCAGGCTGGGATTCCCATAAAGGTTTTGGAGCTTCCTTTGATTTTGGTAGAAGGCTGGTCCTGGGTTGGCAGAAGGCAGGGAGTGAGTGGGAAGCTCTTAGCTATTTGTAATGAAGCAAATACCTTCAGGTATTTTTCTGTGGACAAAATGTCCAGCCTTTTCTGAGACCCAGCTCCCACCACCTGGTCAATAGATGCACAGTTCAAGGTCCTAAAGCTGAACTTTCTCACCGCACCAGAGATAAGTTAGCCATTTTCGCTGGCTAACAATGATTAATCCATCTCCACCTGTTTTTCCCAACATGTTTTTCTAGCACATGAGCTGGGTCATTCACTCTGAAGGTGATAGCCATTGAACCAGCCAGTTTCTACCATCCACCACTACACACCTCCCCCATTGATCACCTAATAGAAGAGCAAAAAAGCGCCTAAAAGATAAAAAAAAATAATAATAATTTTAATGAGACGGTGCATCTTACTGTTTGGGTTGTAACCCTTCAGAGAATCTACCCTGCTGCTGAGAGCAAGTTATGATGTTAAGCCATGCTGCAAAGAAAAGACCACTGACTCCAATTTTAAATCAAATTAAAGCAAGCTTGTAATTCTGGCCAGGACTGTGTCTCCCGAAATCCTTGGGTTACAGAACAGTACCCCAGCTCTCTAGGAGCATAGTTTTATAGCACAAAAAGTTGCAAAGGGTGTGTAGGGGGGTGCCTTGAGAACTTACAGATAATAGAATTTCGACAAGCATAATACAAAGGCAGATAGTAGATTAATGATCTAAATGGTTCAACATTTCAAGTTAGGGAGTAAATCTATTTGTTTATTTATTTATTTATTTATTTATTTTTGAGATAAAGAAAATTATACATCATTTATTATCATATAATACTAGATAATATTAAAGAATCACTCTTAATTTTGTTGGCAATATATAACAGTAGTATTGTTACATACCTTATGGTTATTAAGTCCTTACAGTTTTTGAGAGAACCAAATATAACACTTGTTACATGAAAAACATCTATACCTTCATATTTTCTTTTGTGGAAAATCAAGCTTTATTTCAAAGTAATCCAAGAAGAGAAGAGCAGTCAGGGGGAACATACTTACAAACTGGATGGGAGCATACAGATACTTAATCCATTTGGCAAAGGCTCAGTCAGAAGACTCAGCAATTCCTGCTGATCCTCCAACACCTACCCAGTTTCCTCTTCAGGCTGAAACTACTGAGTAGTCTGGAAGATGCCCACGATGTCTGTGTTATCCAAACACACTCCCATTTCAGGAAAGAGGACACCTGTGGTCTACTTATTGAGGGATCTGATTAATTATTAAAATAAATATTTACATTGAGAATATAGTAAACTATTAACTTTCTTCGCATTTTCACATTTTTAACCAGAGGTTTCATGTTTTAAGCAATTGAGTTGGTAATGATCCTGTCTCCATTTTATAGGTGATGGATTACATTCAATTACTCCTTATAACTGAAAGATCATTTCATTGCTTTTGAAGTACTGGATGAGTTGGCATCTGCGATGGTAGCTAAATAAATGAGATTTCTATGTAACACAATCTGGTACTGGACACACTTGTTCGCTCGACCCTTGTTCTGATACTCCACAATACAGCAGATCAGCTGGTCATTCTCCAGGAGCTTCCTTTGATTTTGGATGGTCTCTTGATTGGCTTCTGCCTTGCCCCTCATCCAGTCAGGTACCAAGGCCACAGACATCACAGGGGGCCCAGGTCAGCACCCCACCTCAGAAAAAGACGCCCATTGGCAGCCAGACAGACGCTATCTCCGCTCTGAAGGCTAGAGAGTAAATTTGGATCCCAACACTAGAATTTACAAGGCACCACTGAGGTTTCAGAGAGGGTTGTTATCTGGTCAGGGAAAACCAGAATTTATGAGGCGCCAGTAAGGTTTCAGAGAGGGTTATTATCTGGTCAGGGAAAACCAAGCATGAATGAGTTCAAGGCATGGGCAGGCATTAGAAATTGCAGTAATTTATAGTAAAACAGAAATTAACTTTTCATGACTTTGTGATGAGATGGCTCGCAATATTTAGATGGAATTAGGCTGGGTTTATCATTCCCCCCTTGTCTTATGTGTCCCTTTCAAATCTTTGATAGGGTAGAGGAAGAGCTCTGGAGGAATTTTAATTCCTCAGGTGACAGTCCCCAACTTCCTGGACTCATCCAAAACTGGCCTCCCTGATCCGACCTGACTCGATTTACCTATCTATATTGACTGTCTATCTATTTCTAACTTCATTGTTGTAAGAAAAAGAGGCAACAATCATTTTGGCTTCTTCATAGCTGAGAGTGGGCAATGTGGGTTGGTGGGAAAACAGCATTGGAGTTCAGGTCAGATTGAAGTCTGGTTGGGGAAGAACAGGTTGTAAAGTTCTGTGCAGATGGGTGCTTCTATGAAAGAGAAACAAAAAACATGAGTACTGAACAAATATTGCTGCCTTTGGAACATGTCAATGAATATCATGAAGATGACAGAAGTTAAAATTTTCTCACCAGGAGGTGTGAAGACTGAGAAGGTGTCCCCATAATAAGGCCAGAGTGGACAAGGCCTTTATATAGGAATGTAAATCTTTAACATCTCTAGAGTTATCAGGAACGTAAACACAACATTTAACTTTTAATGTTGGAGATGTCCATCTCCATGAGATGTAGTTAAGCTACTCAATGTCACCTGATCTTGTAAAATTTGTGCTGGTATGACCTCCGTGTCTAGTAGAGAACCCTTTATTTCTGTTACTTAGGTCTGGATAATCATACTAGCAAACACCAAGCCTACCTGTAGGCCTTAAATTAACTAAATTCTGACTCTGGCAGTTCCTCTTGATAGTTTCTTTTGATAGTTATCAGGCATTCCTGCCTAAGAATCTCTCTTTATAGCCTCCAGTCTTACTTATTTTAGGGGCTAACATAAGTGTATATCTTAAGTTATATTTAACTATTATTATTTATCTTTAAATGTCCTGGTGTGACTATGTTTTGGTTTTAACTGTCTTTGCTATGTGTTTAAGATGAAACAAGTCAAACTGACTTTTGTTTTTATCTATTATTAAGAGTCAGCTGAGTTTCCATAGGAGACACTCTTGGGGGAACTTGAGAGCAATTTCTTAGTTCTGCTAGTGCCATTTGCGCTAGGATGGGTCCAGATCTTGCTGACCATATGGCTTCCCTTGGAAGCACCAGGGATGTCTCCTTTCTCCAATAACCCTCCTCTTCATGGTAAGTGCCTCCATTGGCTTTCTGTTCTCCAGTGGTCTAATGAATCTCCCTGATTGGGAGGTTATGTGGCCTAGAGTTGCAAAGCTCTTTAGAGAAGTTCCCTGTTTCCTGGGTTTAGACTGATTCAGAAGGCAAAAGCCAAATATTGGTTCTTGGTCCCTTTTAATTTAACTTTAATCTTTAAATCTTGATCTTAAACATCTAGCAAGTCAGTTTCATCAGTCTTAAATTAAGAATACTGGGCTTTAACTTTAATGTCTATAACCTTACATTAATTGGGGTCTGTGCTATCCTGTGCGTCCTTTAAGTGATGGCTTATTATCTTAAATTAACACAGGTTGTGTGCTCTTGAAGCAATACCTCTGTAAAACATTAACAGGCAACATTCAGACATTTTTAAAGAAAATACAAAATAAAATTTACAAGAGTAAAAACATATTTAATTTGTGCAATAACTACCTTGAGCTTTGACTGAGTTATATTATAACCCCTATTTGAGATCTTAGTAATCTTAACAACAAAAATCAATCTTTTGAATACAACTTTAAATAAACTGAAGTCTGGCCTGCTGTGGAGTCATTCTGACATGTATTAAGATGGGAGGCAGAGCCTTATCTCAGGTAAGGCAGGGCTCTTTATAAATCTTAAGTGTTCTAGTTCTGAAGCTGATTTTTGTTTCTTATATATCATTTTATAAAGTTTACATATATTGTTGCTCGAGGTCATATGAATATTAGCTAACACAATATGATATTACATTTAAAATATGAATTACAGAAAGGCTGAGAGCTTTTAACCTTTTGTGGAAAAGTTGCAAAATGTTTGTGTTCTTCATTATTAACCTTTACATAGACTAGGCTCTCATTAACTTAAAAATTGTACCCCAGTGTAAAAAGTAACATAAAACTTTAGATCTTATTGATAACAGTTCCCGTTACAGAATATTAAATGGTATAAATAAATCTCCAATAAAGTTTATCATCCTTATAAGCCCAAAATTACCATAAAACTTTAGTTTGGAAAACACCAGCTTGATATAATGTTCTTTTAAAGCTTCTACCTTAAAGACTTATATACCTGGAAGATATGAACATATTTAATATACAAATAATAGTAATAACACCATAATTACATTGATTTTTTATATTAATTAAGTTTAAGTCTTAAGGAAATAACATGTTATAATATTTCAAAATGACAGTGTTGTTTAACCATAATTGTGTAATCCTTAATCCCTTTAAGATTACTTGCTCAAAAAAAAAAAAAGACTAAAACACAATGTTATGGGTAAATCAATGTTTTAAGAAATCCTTGTCTTTTTAACATATAGATTAAACTTTGGTTTATATCAATATATTAACATTTGACCTTAAGGAAAAACTTCAAAAAGCCTTGACTGATCATTTTACATATATATATATATATATATATATATATATATATATATATATATATATATATATCCAACACATATAGAACTTTTAATTTCTCTTTTCTATCTATTATCCCCCTTTTTGTTCACAATATGAAACAATCCTTGTAAATTTTTGAATTTAGGTAAATTATTTCATTTTAATAAAAAGAAATACTTTGTTGTTTACATTACTCTTAATTGAAACAGTTAAAACTTTTGGGCCTTTTCATATAGAAATCTTCAATATCCTTTGTTTATAGAATTAGATCTGTTTACCATTTCATGAAAACAACAATGTTTAAGTATATAGAATTATGACTGTTGGGACTTTAATTTTTTACTAAAACCTTTTTTAGTGATGACAAAGCAAGTTTAAACCCCTTTTTTTTTTCATTTACCAATTTATGAAAACATCAATAATGTTACCCAATCAAATTTAAGGAGTTAAGAGCACTTGGTGGTATATTTAACAGTATTTTAACCTTGTAAATTAATCAGATATCTAACAAACAAAATTACTGATAAATATGAGTAATCCCATGTCAAATCTACTTTACTTATTTTACCAAAATATCAGACAAGTATATTTAATGGTATTAGCCGTTTCTTCCTTGTTGAAGAACATTTCTAGAATCAAGGGATATTAGACATTTTATAAACATCAACATTTTATTATTTTTTTGACCACCTAGGGAGACTTGTGAGTTAAATTTGATTTTAAAGACATATTTATTTTCATCTGTTTACCCAAATTAAATTGAACCATTTTAAATCATGTGAATTAAAGGTATTTGGATCTATTTTTTTAATTTTATGAGCACTCCTTATATACCTGCCAATTTTCATATCATGTACATGATATATGGACACATGTACATATAGACATACAACACATAACACAAGTGTGCACACATAACACAATGGTAAAGGTCTTGTAGCTTTTTGCAGGTGAAATCTCCATTGCAATGTTTAAAACCTCCATAGTTGAACAAAAATTAGGACTGATTGGAAAAACATTAACCTAGGTCTGTAGGATTAAAATTATGAGCTCAAAAAATACAGAATCTAAGAAAAAGCAAGAGTCCTAGAAAAAAAATGACCAGGAGGTAATTAGTAAAGTATCATACAATTTATTTTTTGGTTTAGTCTAATATAAGTTCAGGTAAAGGGCACGTTTACTTTCTTTTTTTAGGGTCTAAGACCAGTCTCCTACTGAGCTTCCATTTGCATTTCAGTGTAAGTCCTGGCTTAGGTCCAGAAAGAGCTAGGGAAAACTGCTGTTCTGAGCAGAAACCTCATGCCTAAGGCGTTTTAACCATTTTTTTCCCTAGTCAGTAATTGGACAGGTTTGGATGCCTAGAATTATGCTACCTTACTTTCTACTACCTTTGGGAACAAAGCTATGATGTTAAGTTCCTTACTAAGATAAGCCATTTGTTGTTGAGCAAGTCCACTTTCTTGTGTGGCCATTCCTAGGTTTTGTCTTCCTCTCTCAGTGACAAACAGGATAAATCTTGCTCCAAAGCCTGTTCATAACTCAGGGGGAGTAAACCTTTTGGTTATAGGCTGTTCAGATATTTTTAAGAGGTCTAAGGTAAGAGGTGAGAACAGAAAAGCTGGTACTTGTATTCAAGGGGAAATTGGCTTCTGGCCCCTACAGAGAATCAGGAGAAGCATACCTGGAGCATCTGAGGCTAGAGTTTGGCTAAGGTTACTTCCACACATCTAAGGCAGATCAGAACTTGGGACACTGTGTACTTGTGTCAATTGCTCTCTGGGCCTGGACAGAAAAGTAGGAAAGGGCTTCAGCAGGCAGAGCCCAACATGCCTGTTCTGTATTGAACGGTGATTGAGAGCTGCCTAGGCCGGGAAACCTTTCACCCGAGTTTTGAGGAGTTGCAGTTGCATTAGCTGCATTTATAGCCATCGGGGGCTCATATCATCCTTCAGAAAGAAAGAAAGTGGCACGGCGGTGAGAGGATAAAGATGAGCTAAAGTATTTGCATCCAACTCAGTTTTTTTTTTAATATATTTTTTTTAGTTTAAGGTGGACACAATATCTTTATTTTATTTTTATGTGGTGCTGAGAATCGAACCCAGTGCCTCATGCATGCTAGGCGAGCGCGCTACCACTTGAGCCACATCTCCAGCCCCTCCAACTCAGTTTTTGACTATTAAGACTCCTTATTAATTATTTTATCTCTGACAAACCAACTTTTAACTGTAAGATTGTACAATGCTTCAAAAACCCATTCAGATACCAGATTGTTACAGTAAAACATCATCTTTTTAGACACATGTACATCTATAGGTAGCCCATTCAGCCAAGATCATTCCCAAGAAACAATCTATAATATCAACACATTATTGCCCATGTCTTAAAGGGCCAGAAACAGATACAAACAAAGACACAATGACAGAGAGAGAGGAGCTCCAAACTATGGCCGACAGAGAGGAACCTTTAAAATAGACCAGATAAGGGAAAAATATCCCCAAGTTTCCAACTCCCAATTTAACCATGAGTCCTACACCAGTGGCACCATAGATGTCACCAGATACATAAATATCATAGATATTCCCACAAAGAGGGAACCAGAATTGTAAAATCAAGGGTCTTGGTGTAGTGACTTCACTGCATTCAGTTTCCTTCTTTTTTTTTTTTTTAATAGACAGAGATGAAGCAATCCTTACAGTGCAGGGAAGGAAGGCAGGAGTTCCCCAAAGCAAAAGGGGCTTCGGCAGCTGTTGGGAGTCCCTCGGTCACTCCATTTACTTACAGGAATAGCTCCTCTGGTTCGGTCTGACCCCAGGCACACTCCCATTATCTCCTAACTTTCCAGTAGTCAGCTCTCAAAAAGTTCATCTTACATCCTCGGCATGCAGTTACTTGGAGTGCTAGGCTTCCCCAAGACAGTGGAGCTGGGTCTCCTCTGGAGTCCCACCTGGAGTATCAAAATTTGTAACTGAAAGTTCAGTTCCTGTCCTCAAAGCCAATTAATGCCAATTTAATAATGAGGACAGGGTTTTGAGAAAAAAGGAAAAATAAGTTTTATTGCTTTGCTAACAAAGAAGAAAAACAAGGACTCCCATCCCAAAGGCGGTGACTCTCTTGTTCTGGAGAGACAAAAGGGTTTTAAAGGAATTTTTCTAGAGTTAATTTCGGTAGGGGTTCCCAGGGTGCCCTAATGGCAGGTTAGGATTCACTTGTTAATTTGGGAAATATTCATTTTCTAGATCCCCAGCAGGCATTTCCCTGAATTTATGGGATGCTGCTGAGGTTTTAGAGGATTATTATCTGGTCAGGGAAAACCAGAATTTATGAGGCGCCACTAAGGTTTCAGAGAGGGTTGTTATCTTGTCAGGGAAAGCCATGCATGGTGAGTTCAAGGCACGGACAGGCATTCCAAGCAAGTTTAGAAATCTCAGTAATTTATAGTAAAACAGAAATTAACTTTTCATGTGGTATGCTCAAGGCAGCCAACTAGGGGAAGAAAAGAAAGCATTGCTTCCCTAATCCTGCTTAACAAAGGGGAGTAACATTTATCAAAATTCCTTAAAACACAGCTCAAAGGGATGTCAGGCTTACTTGCCTTATCACCCATTTTTGATGTTCAATTGTCTTAATTTTCTACCAGAGAAGACACACAACGAAAAGGCAGAAAAAGCATATATAACACAGACCAAAACACAAGAAAACAAGAACCAGGCGCCAAAACCGAGGGAGCAGTGCAACATCTTGCTAATGCTCTGGACAGGAGCGCATATGTGTCTCATCAACACCTTTCTGTCCTTCCAGAGGAATTCCTTACGGAACCAGTATAGAGGACAGAGTGACACTTCGCTACTGTCCTGGACAGGAGTGTATGTGCCTCACCAGGAACTTCTGTGTCCCCAGGAGAGATCTCTCTTAACCCAATACCAAATGTTATAAGAGTGCCACTTACCTATGGAGGCCTCCTCCACCAAATGCTTGCTAATTGTTTTAGTGCGGCAGTTCATTCCAGCAGTTCATTCCAAGGCACATGCGGGGCCTTGGAAAGTCTTAAGCGGCACTCCAGCCTGGAGTCCCAGAGTGAAGGTCCGGCTTCAGAATTTTTGGTGGTCTGATATTGCTGGGGCCTCCAGATGTTAAATCATGCTGCAAAGAAAAGACCACCGACTCCAATTTTAAATCAAATTAAAGAAAGCTTGTAATTCCAGCCAGGACTGTCTCTCCCGAAATCTTTGGGTTAGAGAACAGTACTCCATCTCTCTAGGAACATAGTTTTACAGCACAAAAACTTGCAAATGGGGGTGTCTTGAGAACTTACAGATAACAGGATTTTGACAAGAGTAATACAAAGGCAGATAGTAGGTTAATGATCTAAATGATTCAATATTTCAAGTTAGGGAGTAAATTTAGATCCCAACACCAGAATTTAAGGGATGCTGCTGAGGTTTTAGAGAGGATTAATTCAGGGAAAACCAGAATTTATGAGGTGCCACTAAGGTTTCAGAGAGGGTTGTCATCTGGTCAGGGAAAGCCATGCATGGTGAGTTCAAGGCACGGGCAGGCATTCCAAGCAAGTTTAGAAATATCAGTAATTTATAGTAAAACAGAAATTAACTTTTCATGAATTTGTGATGAGATGGCTCCCAATCTTTAGAAGGATTTATGCTGGGTTCCTCAATGGGTTGAAGCTGGGTTTCATACTGTTGACTACAATATGTTGATAAGACCCATTCTAGTGTGATAACAACTAGCCAAAAGAATCCAGAGCTCCAGTCAGAAGAGAAGATGCAGCTGTAGATAAAATCAGACTTTCTCTTTTATAATGAATGCAACTGGAGGATGGTAAACGCAGTACATTATGGCTCCTTCCCCTTGGTGCTTTCCTGTTGGCAAATAAACTTGAGAGAATGAGTCAATCTTGCTTGGGGAGAAGGTGTCAGCCAGGACTTTGAAACCTGCTGTCCTTATTTAACAGAAGACCAGACTGTACTTTTTGGCACCTTTCTTCCATTGGCTTCCCAAACCAAAACCTCAGTGCCTCTGGGTTTATACTTGTGGAGAAAATGCTCAGGGATCCCAAGTAATTTTCCTTTAATGTTGCTTCCCAAATTTAGCTGGTATTTTCCCAGAGGGCACTAATAACTTTTGAGGGTTCACCACTGAGGACAAATAATAAGGAGCATATTTTTGTACAAATGAAATTTTTTTATTTATTTTTATTTTTTGGTACCAGGGATTGAGCCCAGAGGCACTGAACCACTGAGCTATATCCCCAACCATTTCTTTATTTTTCATTTTGAGACAGGGTCTTACAGCCTCACTAAGTTGCTGAGGCTGGCTTCAAACCTGTGATCCTCCTGCCTTAGCCTCTGGGATTACAGGCATGCCCCACTGTGCCTGGCTGAGATTAATTTTCAATATAGTGATCCCCCAGTTTACATTGTTGTGTAATGTCTGGCTTCCCTGCCCCACTAGACTGTCAAAGTCCCAGAGGACAACTGGGATTTAACTTTGAATTCCTGAAAGGGAGGCACAGTGCTTTACTCAGGAAATGTTGGTAAAAATTAAACTGGAGAATTTCTTGAAAAAGAGGATGACAAACATTTAGAGGAAGATGATGGCATTCCCCTCTCTGGAGACAGCTTTTGTTTGTTTTTGCAGTGCTAGGGCCTCACAAATCCTAGGCAAGTGCTCTACTACTGAGCTACACCCTCAGCCCAGAGAGAGTCCTTTATTCTTAGGAAAACCCTCAGCAACCCAAATGCTTTGTCCACCTTATTCACCTCACATGAGACCTTTGAAAATGCACAGTTTCTCTCTTCAATCAGCTTCCGAGCAGGCTCAGGTCCTGTGGGGCCTCAACCTCTTTGTGCACTTGATAAAAAAAAAAAAAAAAATGCTGAAGGAAAAAAAAAAAAAAAAAAAAAAAAAAAAGCTGAAAGGTCAAAAGGAGGGGGTCCAGCAAATAGTTTCATGATGTAATCCACTGTTGTTGACCCAAGAGGGTCCCCTGCCTGGCGGGCAGCCTGCTAGAAATTTTCCCACTGTCTCTGCATACCCAGAATGCGATATCAGCCCCATTATGACTCCTTATCAACACAAGCATTCTCCCTGAGTTTCCTCAGAAGATAAAGCTCTCCTCTTGCTCCCCATATGCTAAGCACATGACAGAACCCCTCCTGACCAAGAGGTCCTGGCTCAACGGCTTTACAAAGATCCAGATAGTAGCCTTTGGATATTTTGCCAGAAGATCTGCCCTACTTCCCCTCAATTCACCTCAGACCACAGAAAATCTAGTTCCAGAGAGGACCACTGTAGTTGCTCAATTCTTTCTAGGAAGACTTATCTGCTATAAGGAAGGGGCTGTCTGTTCTGGTGAGGCCCACCACCTGAGGCCCCGCAGCCTAACCATGCAGGATACCATGTCCCACCCCTCAAACTGCCAAGCACAGGCTTCCTTTGCAGTCCACTCACAGCCACACCATTATCACATGCTCTCCAGGTTATATGTGGCAAGATAAGGTTGCTTGGACCATCAGAGACAATATGGTCAAGGACAATTAAGTCTGAGGGGGTGCCCCAGGGGGGTGATGAGACTTCAGATTATACCTCCAGGATGATAATTGCATCATTTCCAACATGGAATGCTGTCCACCTTTGCTATAGACTAATGAGCTCTGAGTTTGGTTTCAATGTCCCCAGCTTACCCCTTATTTGTCAATATGAATTTCCCATCATACATTATTGATGGGAAATTCAGGCCAGTTTTTAGAAGTTTTATTCCCACTGGCTTTTTTTTTTTTTTTTTAATATTTATTTCCTTTAGTTTTCGGCAGACACAACATCTTTGTTTGTATGTGGTGCTGAGGATTGAACCTGGGCCGCACACATGCCAGGTGAGCGCGCTACCGCTTGAGCCACATCCCCAGCCCCTTCCCACTGGCTCTTATCATTGAAAATGCATGAGTCCAGCTGGGCACTGTGGCGGATGCCCATAATTCCAGCAGCTCAGGAGGCTGAGGCAGGAGGATAGCGAGTTCAAAGCCAGCCTAAGCAATGATGAGGGGCTAAGCAACTCAGCAAGACCCTGTCTCTAAATAAAATTCAAAATAGGGCTGGGGATGTGGCTCAGTGGTTGAGTGTCCTTGAGTTCAATCCCTAGTACAAAAAAAAAAGAAAAGAAAAGAAAATATATGAGTCCATCTCTCAATTCACTCCCTGGGTCCTTTCTGAGTTCTAAGTAGCACATATGAGTTTTGAGGTCTCTTTCCTGCTTGTGACTCATTATATAAACAAATATAAATAAAGCTCAAGATTCTGAAGCCCATTCTCAAAAATAGCAAAAATTCTAACTTTTTCTCCAGAGTCCCCAGCTACCAAGTTGCTGGTATTCTTATTTAAAGTCATATATTTATCTTATTGTTGCATAGACATACATTCATTCTGTTGCTTAAACTTGAATGTTAAACCAAAAAAACAACCCAATCAATAAATGGGCAAAGGAACTAAACAGACACTTCTTAGAAGAAATACGAATTATGGTCAACAAATACATGAAAAAATGTTGAACATCACTAGCAATTTGAGAAATGCAAATTAAAACTACATTGAGATTTCATCTCACTCCAGTCAGAATAGCAATTATCAAGAATACAAGTACCAATAAATGTTGGCAAGGATGTGGGCAAAATGGTACACTCATACATTGCTAGTGGGACTGCAAATTGGTGTAACAACTCTAGAAAGCAGTATGGAGATTCCTCAGAAAACTTGGAATGGAACCACCATTTGACCCAGTTTTCCCACTCCACAGCATGTACCCAAAGGACTTAAAATCAGCATACTATAGTGATGCGACCACATTAATGCTCAATTCACAATAGCTAAGCTATGGAACCAACCTAGGTGCCCTTCAACAGAGGAATAGATAAATAAAATGTGGTACATATACACAAGGGAACATTACTCAGCCATAGAGAAGAATGATATTATGACATTTGCCTGTAAATGGATGGAACTAGAGACTATCATGCTAAGTGTAATAAGCCAATCCCCAAAAAACAAAAGCCAAATGTTCTCTCTGATATGTGGATGCTGACTCACAATGTGTATGTGTGTGTGTGTGTGTGTGTGTGTAGAGGTTCACTGGATTGAACAGGGGGAATGAGGGAAGGGAGGGGGTTGAGAATGGACAAGTAGAATGAATGGGACATAACTTTCCTATGTTCATATATGAATACATGACTAGTGTAACTTCACATCATATAAAACCACAAGAAGTGGAAGTTATACTATATATATGCATGGTATGTCAAAATGCATTCTACTGTCATGTATCACTAAAATGAACAAATAAAAAAACTTGTATGTTTAAACTCCAAAGGTCTTCACTTTAAGTTCATTCAATAAATTAATCACTACATGAAAAAAATGAGGGCTGGGGCTGGGGATCAGTGGTAGAGCACTTGCCTAGCACGTGTGAGGCACTAGGTTCAATCCTCAGCACCACATAAATAAATAAATAAATAAATAAATAAAGGTATGGGTGTCCATCTACAACTAAAAAAAAATTTTTTTTAATTTTTGATGATTATTTTCTGGCCCTAAGAGATACAGAGCTGACACTGGGAAAAGAGTTGATCTCCTAAACTGGAAGCAAACCCAGACCCTATGGAAGTTAAGGAAGGACCAAGAAAGTCACAGTTCCCAGTACAACAGAACTTACTACTGTATATTTTTATATTAATAACTTAAAAACTTGAGTAGTAGAGCATCGAAACTTTTCTTTGTCCCCAAATAAGTACAGTTGCACACTGTACTTACTTTTTTTTTTTAAAAAATCAGACTCCTTTGCAAGAACCATGGTGGAGTTAGACTCTGTCCTGAGTCTCTGGCCTGGTTTCAGGAACCAGGAGGGCAGCACCTTGCACTGTCAAGCAGCATGCCCAGGTTAATAATTGGCCTTGCCAATGACCGATCAAGCTGTTTTTGTGTGCCTGTTTTGCTATTTTACGTAAATCACCCTGAACATGTTTGTATCAACCTACTGGTGATGCACCTTTGATCAATAGATTTTAGACAAAAGTGGTTTTCAAGTCCAAAGATCAGGGCTGGGTTGGCTGCAGACTGGATATGGGGCATATAAAACTGGGGCAAAGCGCAGACTGATAGCAGAGCAATCACCACCAAGCCTGAACCAACTGCACAGGCTCTGCTGACAGCTTCCTAAGGTGCCAGGGGAATGAGGATGGAGGAAGGAATGAATGCTCTCCATGACTTTGGGATCCAGTCAACTCGCTACCTCCAGGTGAATTACCAAGACTCCCAGGACTGGTTCATCTTAGTGTCTGTGATCGCTGACCTCAGGAATGCCTTCTATGTCCTTTTCCCCATCTGGTTCCATCTTCGAGAAAGCGTGGGCATCAAACTCCTCTGGGTTGCTGTGATTGGAGACTGGCTCAACCTCGTCTTTAAGTGGTAAGGACCATGAGGAGAGATGGGCAAGGAAAGAGGCTGGCATTCTCTCTGGAAATATCTCCATCAGAGTTGCAGTCCCCATGCTACTCAGGAAGCCACATGCTTCTCCCCTCTTGACTTGGGATTATCTACACAGAGAAAGAAAACAGAGAAAATCTTGCCAGGGAGTTGGAAATACTGGAAAATCTATTTCATAGGAATTGAAGGGGTTGATGGACAGTTGAATTTAGTGAAAAGTCTGAGTTACAGACTTTAAAAAGCAAAGAAGCACAGTTTTGTTACTTCAAATCAGAATAGATAACATAAGATAGATGTTGGAAAGAAGACAGATGATGTATAGAAAAAGGAAAGAAATGATTCAGAAACTTTTTGTATGGAGTAGTGAAAAGTAATCCAGAGAACTGAGCTCCAACCCTTGTTCTGCCACCTACCAGCTATATGTCCTTAGTAAGTTCTATCAATTCTCTGAGTTTCTACTTTGTAATCTATTAACTTATATTAGCTCCAGAATCTTTTTTTAAATATTTTTTAGTTGTTGATGGATCTTTATATTATTTTATTTGTATGTGGTGCTGAGAAATTAACCCAGTGCTTCACACATGCTAGGAAAGTGCTCTACCACTGAGCTACAACCCCAGCCCCAGAATCTTTTTTAAATTTTTGTTTTTAGTTGTAGATGGACACAATACCTTTATTTTATTTATTTATTTTATATGGTGCTGAGGATCAAAACCAGTGTCTTACACATGCTATGCAAGTGCTCTACCACTGAGCCACAACCCCAGCACCTAGCACTAGAATCTTAATGAATGCACATAGTTAACATTTACTAAACACTTAGTGTGTGCTGGGCCATGTGCTGTTCTGTGTGATAGTTACTACTATGTCACAGAAGAAAATACTGAGGTGCTGAGTTAACTGGATAGACAAACATGGTTAGTAAATGTCAGAGCCAGGATTGAAGATCAAAGCAGGCAATGTTCTTAAAAACTGTGTATTATCCAAAGCTGATAAACTGACTCTCAGGGGTCAGGGGGAGCCCCAATTTTAACATTTTCCAGAATTTACCAGTGAGCTACATCCGCAGCATCTAGTGATAAATCTTAAGATCTATTCCAGCTCTGATATTCTTTGGCCTCCTCAATTAAAGTCCTTTAGAGAAAAAAAAATTATTGGATTCTAGTGCCCAAGCATATTAATGAGATTCTTGAAAGCTATATTGGAAAGCTAGTAAATGTTGTCTGTAACTTCCCTAATTCCGCAGCATGACCCTAAAAATTAAAAGACTAATGTTTATCCCAATACTGACCTCACGAAACACCATGGATTCTTCCCCTATTGGTAGAGGTAAGAGTTAGTAATGAGTCCTAATTTCAGTAAGAAATCACTATTCTACTATCACTGGAAAAAGGAGGCATCCTGAGGACCTTTGACTTTTATTTCCACAGTGAAAACCATATGTGGTATTTTTAAAGGGGAAGTGTTTTGTCTGAGATATTCTGTTTCAAACCAGAGAGGATACAGAGCAACCTTACAGAGACCAATTCTGATGGGAATGGAGGCCAGGTCTTGAGTCTCATGGGAGGCTTTCCTTGAGGCTGGGGCGTGTTCTCAGATGTCAAAGGAAATGCAATACTCCCTGAGGCCTGAATAAAAAGAGGAACTCTGTAGTATAGACTCAAGTGAAAGTTGTAAACCATAGTTCTGTATGCATTCTTCCAAGACAAATTCTTCTGCGTGTTTGAAAAAAAAGAAAGAGAAATAATGTTCACATTAATTAATTGCAATTAGTGGGTTTTCAGATCTTGTGTCTATTTACTTACTTACTTATTTGTTTTATTAAGAAGCAGTCTTGCTGTATTGCTCAGGCTATCTCTGAACTCTTGGGCTTCAGCCATGTTTCTGCCTCCTATGTACTGAGTCTATAAGCATGCCACCAGCCTCAACCTCTGGATTTATTTATGTTTGAATAGATAATATATTAAAGTGACTCAAATTTCAAGTTATCTAAAGGATGCATCATAAAAACTCTCCCCCTTTAGGCCTCTTCCCAGGTCCCCTTTCTGGAGGCAACTCACTAATGTCCTCAAACCCCTTTCTCTTCTTGAAAGTGTGGACTTTGAACTGGGCACAAACCCATAATCCCAACTACTTGGGAGACTGAGGCAGGAGGATCACCATTTCGAGACTGCCTCAATAACTTAGCAAGGCCCCATGTAACCGCCTCAATAACTTAGCAAGGCCCCATGTAACTGATACCCTGTCTCAAAAAAAGAGTGTGCCAGGCCCCTTTGTCCCCTTTGGTTAAAAGCATCCATCCAGATGCTGGCTCTGCTTTTCCACAGGATTCTCTTTGGACAGCGCCCGTACTGGTGGGTCCTGGACACCGACTACTACAGCAACACCTCTGTACCACTGATCAAGCAGTTCCCTGTCACCTGTGAGACTGGACCAGGTGAGAGTCCCAGACGCTGTAGAGACAGCAAGGGGGTAAATCTTGTTCAGCATAGATCATAGATACCTATCAGCCTCTCTTGTGGATGAAGCTGAACTTAAAGGTTCATAGGGAGAGCTATTACTTCACACTTTTGTCACAGTCTTCAAATTTGGTACAACTTCATTTTCATTCACTTCAGGAAGGCCTTCCTGAATAACATGATATTGTCACTTTAGAAATCTGTGTGATGGGGGCTGGGATTGTAGCTCAATGGTAGAGCGCTTACCTCGAATGCATGGGGCACTGGGTTCAATCTTTAGCATCACATAAATAAATGAAATAAAGGTATTGTGTCCATCTACAAAAAAAGAAAAAAAAAAAAAGAAAAGAAATCTGTGTGATGTTTCCAGGACCTGAGTTACTAGTCCAAGAGAAGCACAGGTACCCCTATGGGAAAAGGGCTTGTGAGAATAACTGTGCCAGGCCCCTTTGTCCAAAGAGGGCAAAGTGTTAGAACTCCGAATCCCTGCCTGTCTTGCCCAACAGCCTGGACCAGTGAACATATTCCCATGAGCTGATCATCCAGTCTCAACCTCACAATCTGCTTGCCTGCATTTTATTGGTTACAGACATAATTTTTTTTTCAGTGCTAAGAATTGAACCCTAGACTTTGCACATTTTAGGAGAGCACTCTGCCACTAAGCTACACTCTACTCCAGCCCCAGACATGAATTCTTAAATCAAATGATAGGTTTCATTTTTTGTTTGTTTGTTTGTAGTAGGAATATCCAACCTCATCCCTCCCCTCAAAGACCCTTTCCTTGGCCCCATACTGGAAAATGACCCTGGGTTATTTGCTCTCACAGACCATGAATTCACTTTAGAGTATATTCACTCATATTCAGCTATGATTTATTGAGCACTACCATGTTCCAGACACTGTTCTAGGTGCCAGGGACACCTATGTCAGTGAACAAAACAGACACAAAGATCCCTGCCCTTATGAAGCTGAAATTTGAATGGGGGGTACAACATACAAAAATCAGAATTAAAAATTAAAGTATATAAGATATTAGAAGATGATAATTTACATGAAAAAAGAGAATAGATGGCTTAATCCATGAAATTCCCTAGAAAACTGACTCAGGTGGAGACAAACAAGCAGGAGTTTAGGGACTCTATGGAGCAACTGTTGTGGAGGGGAAGGGACAGGTCAACCTGGCAGATGGAGAATTCCAAGGATTCAGTCTCAACCAATCCCACACGGAGCTCTGAAACTGGGGGTGGCTCTTCGTTATCACCCTGAGTGGGTTAAGGGGGCCATGACTTTATGATTTGATAGAGGCCAGTTATTGGGTACAGGCTGCCCCTAGGGAGGGGGTCGATCAAGGTGACTCTCTTCAGCTCAGGGCAATGCCTATAGAAACTGAGAGCTGAGGGCCATTGGCAACCTCACAGCTGGGAAATAAGCCCTTTAGTCCAGAAGGGGATCTGGATGGCATATCTCAGGGCCTTTTATCCCTCAGAGTAGAAGAATCACGAATAGGAACTGATTATAGTGTTAAATAGAGTGACCAGAGTAGGACTCATTAAAAGGAGAGATCTGAGTCAAGACTTGAAGGATGCATTAGAATTGACCAGGAAAGTTCTAGGGGAAGAGCTGTCTAGCCAAAGGGGATAGATATCAAGGCAAAGGTTCTCATGTGGGAGCACACTTGGCCTATTAAAGGACAACAATGAGGCAAGGTGTGGCCAGAGCAGAGTGAACAAGGAACAGGTAGAAGAGAAGCGGCAGGAAGATCAGTGTGTAGTTGCACATCTGGTGTGCTGATCTTGGGTCATCTCCAGATGTACATAACGTACATAACAACAAAAAGGGACCTTCTCTGGAGAGTCTGGCACATAGTAGGAGCTCAACAGATATTGTTAAATGAACAAGTTATAGATAAATGAATGGATGGTTGAATGAATGGATAGATGGGTAGATGAATGGAAGGAGGGATGGGAAATAATATTCAGATGATTGGGTAGATGATGCTCTCTGGCAGTCTCTCAGATGGAGATCTTTTCATCGATAGTATATTTGTCTCTTTCCTGCCCTTTAGGAAGTCCTTCTGGCCATGCCATGGGTACAGCCGGTGTATACTATGTGATGGTCACATCTACCCTCTCTATCTTTCGCGGAAAGGAAAAGCCAACATACAGATTTCGGTAAGAACTCACCATCCAGGCATGAGTGGTGGAAAGCAGGAAGTGGCTCTTTCTGTGTCTGAGACACCATTTATTTTTCCTCACATTCCCCAAAGCCCATTCTCACACTATGCATTGGCACTGATAAAAGTTGTGGCACTTCTGCTAAGGGTGAACACCAGAGTCACAGAATGTTAGGAATGGAAGGAACCCACTAGTGCAACCTTTGCTTTACAGACAAGCATACAAAGCCTAACATGAGGGGCTTCTAAAGATCAGGTTGTGGAGTCGGGCATGGTGGCACATGCCTGTAATCCCAGCAGCTCAAGAGGCTGAGGCAGGAGGATCACCTTAAGCAATTTAGTGAGACCCTGTCTCAAAAAAAAAAAAAAAAAAAAAAAAGGGCTGGAGATGTAGTTCAGTGGTTAAGTGCCCTTGGGTTCAATCCCTTAGCCCATCCGCCCCGCCCCCTCCAAAAAAAAAAAAGATCAGTGGGGCTGAAGTATAACTCAGGGGTATAGTAAGTGCAAGGCCCGGGGTTTGATCACCAGCACCCAAAAAAATCAAGTAATGACTTAGGAGCAGGGATTAATTAAAAATCCATTTCTGTACCAACCATAGAGTTGTCCCATCAGGGTTAAAACAGACATAAAACAGTTAAACTGTTCAAATCCTTAGTTATGAAACAAATACAATTGGGTGGTTAAAATTCATTCAAGCAGTTTCATCTCTTACTACAGACATCTTTGTGCCTTTGAGAAGGGGCTGCAACTTACAAAAATTCCACTGATGGAATTTGCCAGGCTCTACCATTTCCTCTGGGATTGTTTTCTTTACTGCAATATCCACTTCTGGGTTCTGTTATGGCTCCCTCTTCCATTGCAGGTGCTTGAACGTCATTTTGTGGTTGGGATTCTGGGCTGTGCAACTGAATGTCTGTCTGTCACGAATCTACCTTGCTGCTCATTTCCCCCACCAGGTTGTTGCGGGAGTCTTATCAGGTATCAGCTGTTCCAACTTCCTCCTTCCCTTCTACCCATTCCATCCTTAATTCCCTAATCAGTTCAAAATCTCAGCATTGCATCCATGTTCTGAGAAGTCCTGTTAATATTTCAGTAGTTTGAAAGTCAAGAGTGACTAGCCTGGTATGGTGGAGTTTGCCTGTAATCCCAGCTTAGAGGAGACTGAGACAGGAGGGTTAAGAGTTCAAAGCCAGCCTCAGCAATGGTGAGGCACTAAGCAACTCAGTGAGACCCTGTCTCTAAATAAAATACAAAATAGGGCTGGGGATGTGGCTCAATGGTCAAGAGCCCCTGAGTTCAATCCCCAGTACAAATATATATATATATATATATATATATAAAGTTTTGGGGGCATAGATCAGTGATAGAGCATCCCCAAGTTTAATCTCCAGTTTGGGGGTAGGTGGAGGGGAAGAAAGGAAGAAAATCCAGGGTGACTATTTGAAATAAAAATTAATTTCTATAGTACTCCCACATCTACACAAGTGTGTTTCAGAAAAGGTGTAATACATCAAGTTAACCCACCCAATTTAATTAGCTTGAAATTTCCAAGCTCATTACATTCTTTATTTCCTATTGAGCTTCAATTGGAAATGGGATTCTATCAAATTTAGCAAATAAATCCGTTTTCCTAGGCTAGCTCTTTATTTAAATACATTCCTTTGCAAACCCTAACAGATAGATATGTGCAGCTGATCTCTTACAGGTTCAGGGTTTTGTATTCCTGCATTTTTCTTAGATCTAATTAATAAGGGGCAAAAAAAAAATTTAGGGGAGTTGTAAGGAAGAATTTCTTGATTTCTGTGGATGGAATTAGAACATAAGATCTTAAGGAAATTGTGGGATTTTCCCCAAGAGCAGAATATAATAGCCAAAAACATATTGAGGAGGAACATAATGGTTTCATAGTAATCACAAAAGCAACATAGCAATTAGTAGTGGGTCCCATGTCTGGGGAAGAATCTGGAAGCCATGTTACATGAAAAATCTGGGCACTGGGGATGTAGCTCAGTGGTTGAACACTTGCCTTGCATATGCAAGGCCCTGGTACCCCATTCAATCCCCAGTACCATGAATAGACGAGACAAGATCTGGGAATGTTTAGGTTAGAGAGGGAAATCTTCAAATGTGTGACAGAGGGACTAAATTCATAACTTACTAATTCCTGTGGAAAGAATTGAGACCAACAGGTGGTATTAGAGGGAGACAGATGTCAGCTGAGCACAAGGAAGAACTATGGCAATCAAATCCATTCAAAACCAAAATGGGTTGTTTTAGTAGGAGTGAGTTCTCCACCATGAGAGTATTCCAGGAGTACGCTCTGATCTGAAATCCATATTTAATTCCACAATGCCAGGATGGATGGCATGCTACCCATTGCTTCAGATCCACCCCTAGAGAAAGTCCAGAATCTTCTCCATTTCTCACAGTCATTCTTTGTCCTGTTCAGGCATTGCTGTTGCTGAAACTTTCCACCACATCCGGAGCATCTACAATGCCAGTCTCAAGAAATATTTTCTCATTACCTTCTTCCTGTTCAGCTTTGCCATTGGATTTTACTTGGTGCTAAAGGGGCTGGGGGTGGACCTCCTGTGGACTCTGGAGAAAGCCAAGAGATGGTGTGAGAGGCCAGAATGGGTCCATATTGACACTACGCCCTTTGCCAGCCTGCTCAAGAACCTGGGGACCCTCTTTGGCCTGGGCCTGGCTCTCAACTCCAGCATGTATAGGGAGAGCTGCAGGGGGAGTCTCAGCAAGTGGCTCCCTTTCCGCCTCAGCTGCATCATGACCTCCCTCATCCTCCTGCATCTCTTTGACTCTCTGAAACCCCCATCCCAAATTGAGCTGATCTTCTATGTATTGTCCTTCTGCAAGAGTATGACAGTGCCCTTGGCCTCTGTCAGTCTCATTCCCTACTGCATCACGCGCATCCTGGGCCAATCACACAAGAAGTCTTTGTAAAGCATGTGGCGGAGTCTTCAGTATTTAAATTCAGTGACTGTGCCAAGGGCCTAGACCAAGGAACTAAGGTCTTCTCCCAGCCCATTTTGAGGTTGGAGGTGTTAAATTCAGCTCAAGTGACCTTCCCCCTTTTTCAATCTTGATTGTATTGGATGGTGTTTTTTGAAAAGCTAATGAGGCCATGTGAGAAAGCCTTGACCATTAGAAGTTGGGTAGTTCTGGATTTTTCCCTGAAGACCTACTTACCTGTTCTTCTGTCAGAGATACAGAAGCAAGACTTCCAGTAGGGAAGCTCACAAATCCAGGCCAAAATCCCAACTGAGAATTTTCTACCTGTGCTCATCCCTCCCATGAAAAGGAGAAAGGATTACACAGATTTGATAGAGGAAAGGGGATGAGTCAAGGAGGATTTCTTAGTATCTCACATATTGTGCAAACTACATGCCAATCAATGTCTAAATGGCTTCAAATATGTTTGAATCTTTTTAGATATGGCACTCTCAATAATGGTAGACCAACTCAAAGTATACTTAATAGGTGATTAGTGGAATAACTGCTTTGGGTATTTTTTTTACTTTAGATACATGATACTTGTATTGACTTGGATTTCTAAATGACTGCAGTGACTGAGGTATTCTACAAAGCCACAACATTCAAGCAGAGTTGATTTTCTTTGATCACATTACATCTTCTTCCTTATTAGCTCAGCTTTACTTTCCCCAAAATTTCCCCCTGGCTCCCCATCTACCCTGCTGGATCCTCAGATGCCTAAAGGGTGACTCTTTGGTAGCACTTTTGTATGTCGAAGTTAAGCTCTGAAATCTTGGGCAAAAAAAAATGGCAGGGAAAGGGCCAGGATTCCTCTCTCCAAAAGGTCACTCCGATGTTACTTTTGATTCATGGAGAGTAAATATGACTCCTTTCTACATTCCAAGTCAACCAAGAGCACTTTCTTAGAGGAAAAGTCAAATCCTTCATGCCTGTTCTCCAGTCTCAGCTGATTTGCAGGGTGTGCCCTCAAAAACAAACAAAAAAATCCTGAAGCCTATTTATTTGAGACTCCTTGTTTTTTCTACTAATTTAGGATACCATATGTTATCATTCACGCCAACCATCCTGCTCTTTACATATTTAAAACAAAAAATATGTATGTGCAGTATTTTATTAAAGTGACATTTTATTTAAGAATGAAGTCTTCTTGAAGCTGGGTGGGGTGGCCTACACTTATAATCCCAACTACTCAGGAGGCTGAAGCAGGAGGATCGTGAGTTCAAGGCCAGCCTGGGCAATTTAGCAAGCCCGTGTCTCAAAATGAAAAGGGCTGGGGATGTGGCTCAGTGGTAGACATACCCTGGGTTCAATCCCCAGTAATGCAAAAAAAAAAAAAACCAAAAAGTCTTATTGATTACTGTATTTTAAATACAATGTGATCCAAAGGGTCTAATTCTGACCCAGTTAAATTTGTAGCTCTTTCTTTGTTTCCTAATCAAATAATTCGGTTTCTTTGTGCCTATGCTTTCACTTTAGAGAAAGAAGATGCTCTGTCTTGAGTTGACCAAGACTTCCAGCAGGGATAGGGGGACTTACAAGGCAAACACAGGTAGAGTTGATCCCATCAGCATAGGCATAATATTGGCACAGATCAGTTACTGAGCTCAGGCCCAATCTGCTGGTCACACAATGGAAGCCAATTCGTGGAGAGGCAAGACCATGGTAGAGAAAGAACTTTATTACAATTAGCTAGCTAATCAGAGGATGCCAGCCTAAAGGTCCATTGTCCCAGGAAGCTGATTTAGGGGTGGTTTATATAAGAGATGGTTTATATAAGAGATGACTTCAGACTAGTAGGTGCCTTCTCACAGGTGGAAGTTTGTGGCTAAATAATGCACATTGAATTGCCTAGTTATAAGAAATCTCAAGAAAAATAATCATTATTTCCTCAGGCTATTCTTGTCACTGGTTAGTTTGCCCACATGCAGTTCCTGACATATTACTCAATGGATAAGCTAGATGTTGTAACTGGATGCTTCCCTAAGATCTTCTTGCTGATCACCAAATTTATGGTAATGAATAAGAGCATACTTCACCCAATTATTGTAGAAGACAAAGGTCAGGCAAGGTTAAATAGGGAGTGGAGCAGGAGATCTGATCTCCATGCTTGGCTTCAGAACCAGAAATATGATGTTGGTCAAGGCTTAACCCCAGTTCCCAGACTACAGGTCAGTGTGAGTTTCTCTATAAGATTAAATTGTAACTTGAAGGCACATAGGCAAGGACACTACCAAACTGAGCAATCAGAGCATGCAAATCATAGAGCAGAACAAGACTGGGAACACTCTAGAATCCAGTAACCCAGGATCAGCAAGGTTTAGGGTTATAGACAAAGTCCAAACAAAACAAGTCATAGCACCAAGGGATGCTCAAGTTTTTCTGCTAAGCAATTTATTTCATCCTGGGTGCAGAGTCCTATCTCAGAGGCCTCTACTGATCTCCATAACCTTGGATCACCTGAGAATGAGATTGGCTAACTTAACCCCAGAACATCAGAATGTGCATATTCAGGGAAGTTTGAGTCCTACTATTTGATGTGTCAACTCAAGACAGAGCAGATGTGGGTTCTTCAGTGGCAGGGACTAGGCCCACAGAGACACTACCAGGGAGAAAGGAAATAGTCTCCATTTGTGTGAATTGCAACCCACAACTGGGGCATGGCCCATCCTTGAAGTTCCAATTGCTCTCAGGGACCAAATCCGGGCTCCTTGCAAGAAGATTCTGGCAGAAAGTGAATAGTACCTCTTGCCTTGGCAGTTTGTGAGGTTAAGAACACATAATATCATAGAATTAGTGTGTACTTACTATGTGCCAGGTTCTGTTCTATGTGCCTTATTTCTACAATTAATTCTTAACATCTCTGTGAGGTGGTTACTATCATTTGTCCTCATATTATGAGGCACAGAGGGATTCGGTATCTTGTCCAGAATGGTGGGGGCAATTCTAGAATCAGGCAGTCTGATTCCAGAGTCCATGCTCTGCCCTCCACCTCTTCTGGTTCCTCATGGATGCCAGTAAGACTCACAGCTGTTTAAATCCCCTTTAAATACCAGATTCATATAACCCATTTTTTAATTTCTTTCCTTTCTTCCTTCATTTTCTCCTCCTCCTCTTCCCCCTCCTCCTCCTTTCCTTTCTTTTCTTCCTTCCTTTCCTTTCCTTTCCTTTCCTTTCCTTCCTTCCTTCCTTCCTAGGGCTAGAAACCAGGGCCTGGCATGTGCTAGGCAAGTGCTCTGCCACTCCTCAGCCCCAGATACAATCCTCAGAGAGGATTTGATTTTATTTGGCTGAAAGCCATTACAAAACTTACAGTGGTCCTCCCAGTAGATTAGCATGAACTTCTAAGTATGAAGATACTATGTTTCAACTCCTCAGTCTATACCCAAAGGACTTAAAATCAGCACACTATAAGAACAAAGCCACATCAATGTTTATAGCAGCTCAACTATGGAACCAACCTAAGTGTCCTTCAACAGATGAATGGATAAAGAAAATGTGGTATATATACACAATGGAGTATTACCCAGACTTAAAGAAGAATGAAATGATGGCATTTGCAGGTAAATGGATAGAGGTGGAGAATATCATACTAAGTGGAATAAGCCAATCTCAAAAAACCAAAGGCTGAATGTTTTCTCTGATATGAGGACGCTAATTCACAATAAAGGGGGTAGTTAGGGAAAAATAGAGTTACTTTGGATTAGGCATAAGGGAGTGAAGGGACAGGAGGGAGTTTGGGGGAAGGAAGGATAGTAGAATAAATTGGACATTGATACCCTATGTGCATATATAACTACACAAACGGTGTGATTCTATATCATGAACAACAAGAAGAATGAAAAGTTATACTCCATTTATGTATGATGTATCAAAGTGCATTCTGCTATCATGTATAACTAATTAGAACAAATTCTAAAACGGTAATTTCATAAAGCAACTATTAGTAAAATCATTACTTAGTGTTCAACAGCAGTGTCCAAAGCAAATTTAGCTGTGTTTTCTTCCAAGGGTTTAAAACTAAAGGGCTGGGGTTGTAGCTCAGTGGTAGACCACTTGTCTAGCAGGGTGAGGCCCTGGGTTTGAGCGCTGGGTTTCTCAGCATCACATAAAAAACAAATAAATAAAAATAAATAGATTCTTTTAAAAAAAGAGTTTAAAAATAAAGTTCTGACTGTCTGGGTCACATGATAAGTAACATACTATTTCTAGAATCAAGATAGAATGAGAAGATATAATTATCACAAAGAATTTTTTATAGAGATCTATATATAAGAATGGAAAATAGACACACTGTGGAATATGGTTTAGATCAGAGACTCCGCAAACATGGGTTGGTTATCTTTCTTTAGGACCAGAAAAATCTATAAGTGGACACACATAGAGAATTGAGAATTTATGATACATGGAGCTGAGCAGAGTGTTAACACATGATCAATTTGTAACATAGTCAACTTATTAGAACATATTGATCACTGATCTACTCTGCAAGTGATAAATCTGTGACTGCTTTAGAAATGGCTTGTGAGGGCTGGGGTTGTGGCTAAGCGATACAGCGCTCACCTATCATGTATGAGGCTCTGGTTTCGATCCTCAGTACCACATAGAAATAAAGGTATTGTGTCCAACTACAACTTAAAAACTTAAACACACACACAGAGAGACAGAGAGAGAGAGAGAGTAAGAAACAAACACACACAGTGTATCTATTTTTTTTTTAACTTTTTAATTTTGGGGACAAGGGATTCATCCCAAGAGTGCTTAACCACTGAGTCACATCCCCAGTCCTTTTTATTTTTTATTTTGAGATAGGGCCTCACTGATCCCCCTGCTTCAGCCTCCCAAAGTGCTAGGATTACAGGCATGCACCACCACACCCAGCTGTACTTGTATTATAGACCTGGGAAATAGACCTATTAAGATAGTGCAGGGAAAGGGATTAGGGATATGGTTCAGTGGTAGAGTGTTTGCCTTCCCTGTGTGAGACCCTGAGTTCTATTCCTGACACTGCAAAAAAAAAAAAAAGGAAAGTACAACTTCAGCTACCTCAGTCAACTGCCATACCACAAATAGACCAAAATCTTAGGGCTTTTTTTTCCAGTAAAATTATAAAAGGCTTTAAAATTTTTTACAATATTTGTATTGGTATACAATTCACACAGCATACAAAACACTCAACATTTATTAAAGTGTGCAGTGGCTAGTGGGGCATGGTGGCACATGCCTATAATCCCAGCACCTCAGGAGGCTGAGGCAAGAGGATCACAAGTTCAAAGCTAGTCTCAGCAAGTTAGTGAAGCCCTAAGCAGTTTAGTTAGGCCCTGTCTCAAAATAAAAAATAAAAAAGGCTGAGGATATGACTCAGTAGTAAAGCACCCCTGGGTTCAAACCCCAGGACCAAAGAAATAAATGAAGTGTACAGTGGTTTTTAGTACATTCATAGTTATTCAACCATCATCATGAGTCAGTTTTAGAACTTTTTTTTTTTTTGCTGCTCCATAAAGAAACCCTCTATCCATTATAGTCACCTAGACTGTTTTCTCAAAGGATTCGTAAGGAAAAGTTTTACAGTGTTTTTGGTTTTTCCATCTCTGGTAATTTTTTAGAATCACTCCCTGTAACATAACTTTGTCTACTTCTTTTCTTTGGAAGAATTTTAAAGCAAGATTAATCAAATAATCAGATTTTATATGATGAAACATTTGTGAGCTCCTCCTACTTTCATTGGCAATGGCTTTCTTGTTCCAATATGTGTTCCAAGGGCGTTTCATTTGAGGACATGTCTGGATATTTTAAGTTCCAGCCCTAGTCAATTGACTGGTTGTTTGTAACCTGTCAAAAGTTGCTGACTTGATTTCTGAAAACCATTACTTTAGCTGCTGAATTATTAATATTTATTGATTTTGTTTGATAGCAATTGCTGAACTAGGACAGATGCCTTTAAGCCTTGTGTGTGTAAATAAAACAGGTCTGTATCATTTGTAGGTAAGACTTTTTCAGAAGACCAAAAATGGAAGATTCACCAAATAGACTTCTGGTGATATTTCTAAGAAAATAATTAACCAGAAATCATATGAAGAACAGTCAACAAAAGCTACTTTTATCAGAAAATCAAAAACCTAATTCATTTATAGGGACAA